CGGCCACGTAAATCGCGGTCTCCAGAAACGTCCGCGGGGCTATGTTTCCAGAATGAGCTTGGGTTGGTAATACCGTATACCAAGGTAAAAAAAGGAGAAGGTTTGACAGTATTAAAATTTGGATACCGCCCAAGCCTAGTTGTCAGCATAATGTCCAGAACAATTATTTAATGACAAGATAAAATAGTAACACTCGACAAGGAAGTAGTATTTGTTCATGTTGGTTAATGATACAGTTGTTCATTGTTAGTTCATGCTAGCAGTGCTTTCACTAATGTTAGCAAGCATGAAGTGGGATTTTAATAAGTCATTAGTAAATGTTGATTAATAAATGCTGTACAAGTATTGTTCATGCTTAACTAATGAACCTTGTTGTAAAGTGTAATCAATATCCAAGGAAACTCTCAAATGCGATCAGAGAAAGAAAATCAAACTGTAGAATGGCCCAACCAATCACCTGAACCAAATCAAATAGAAAATACAAAATAAAGATCAGATTTGACAGAAGAGACCCACAGAATTTTACACTCTGTTGAAAAACTCACACCTAAGCCATACATGTGACTTCATTCTCCATATTAGAGGTGTCTTTAAGCTGCCAACACAATTTTTACTAAAATCTGGTTCAATTCCATGTCAACAGCTCCTTTAGAAATATTATTCCCAGGAAAAAACATGCAATCAATACTTATTTTCCTTGCTGTGTGCCCGCTAGCTTTGCTTAACACTGCAAACCCAGAGTCAGTTTCTCTTCACTGCTCAGAATGCAAATACAGGAAGTTGGGCTTTGTTGCCACAACAATCCCTGTTAGAGCAGTAAAGAAGAAGACGTGGGTAACACTCATTTTATTTTAAAGATGTCTTTGAACTTTAAGTTTCAAAGGGGTCATTTTTCTGTATTATTCATATAATTTTTTTTATATTTTTTATTTTTTGCACTGATTTTTATGCAGTTATTCTGTAAAACTTGGATAATTTTTTTATAGTGTTTGATTTGTGGCTGAACTTGTTTTAGTAAAGTACAGTAAATAAAAAATGTCTGATAATAAAAAATACTCTAGTTTGCTGTATGCATGGCTCTTTCTGAAAAATGTACCACTATATACATTTCTGGAGAGCGCCAAATACATCCCAGGAGCTACGTTTTTATTTGATTTATTTTTTAGTTTTTGTAGTTTTTGTGAATCCACCAGAGGCCGCTGTGTATGCTTTTTGAGATTTCAAATTTTTCTCGCGAGTGCCATTCATGCCTGCTGTCCTCGCCTAAATCCACCAGAGGTTGCTGTTAACTGACTGACTGACCGATCTGTTTTCCTAAACCCAACCAATTTTTTTTCAAAAGCACCGATCAACCTGCCCACTCACTTCACTAAACCCAACCAACAATTTTATAAAGCAATCCAGAAAAAGAAAAGCCCTCGCCTGATTTTTACCACGTTTTCAGATTTTACCACATTCTCACCCTGTCATTTACTTGTTTATTTTATTTTTTGGCTTCTGTTTTTGTCTTATCTGCTTTCTGGAACCCTATCGTGGTCAACTACTCTCTGCGTCTCAGGTCCACCGACATACACGGCGAGCCACTGGACAAACAGGTAACAGCAGGTAAGCAGTCAGCTGGTAAGCGCCAACAGGAACGGCATCCTACCCCCCGTAGCGTTCGTTTTAAAGACAAAAGCAGCCATACATACTTCTGGCTACATAATTTGTGATCTCCAGAAATGCATACAGGGCTACTTTTTCAGAATGAGCCAGTGTTGTTTATTTGTGTACTGTTTAGGGATTAAAGTATTTTTTATTTAATTATTTACTTTTTAAAACTTCATCCCATCCTCAGCTGCATCCCATATCAATTCATGCATCTAACATTACCACACACACACACACACACACACACATACAAACACACAAACTATGATAATTCTAGGCGAAATTAAATGTCATCTGATGGCCATCTATTGAAGTAACCGGATCTCTTCTGGCTGCATTATGGGCTGCAGTAATGGGACACCCTTCTGCTGCTTTGCATAGTTTTGCTGGAAACGTATAAGAATTTCCAAGGCAAATCTGTCGCCGAGTGTGTGGGCAGAACAACAAACACGACTGTTCACCAGTCATGCTTCACTCTCTGCCAATCAGAAATAACATACAGACTGGAGACCACGACAGTTCATTGAGCAACTCCTTTCTCAGTCACATGAGCATCTTATTTTGTGTGTGTATGTGTACAGTTAGGCGACGCAGTGGCGCAGTAGGTAGTACTATCACCTCACAGCAAGAAGGTCGCTGGTTCCAGCCTCGGCTGGGTCAGTTGGCATTCCTGTGTAGAGTTTGCATGTTCTCCCTGTGTTCGCATGGGTTGTTTCGGTTTCCCCCACAGTCCAAAGACATGTGGTACAGGTGAATTAGGTAAACCAAATTGTCAGTATTGTGTGAGTGTGTGTGGATGTTTCCCAGACTGGATGGGCATCCGCTGTGTAAAAACATGCTAGAAAAGTTGGCGGTTCATACCACTGTGGCGATCCCGAATTAATAAAGAGACTAAGCCGAAAGGAAAATGAATGAATGAATGTGTACAGTTGAAGTCAGAATTATTAGCCCTCCTGAATTATTAGCTCCCCTGTATATTTTTAATAGAAAGAAGATTTTTTCAACCCATTTCTAAACATAATAGTTTTGATAACTCATTTCTAATAATTAATTTATTTTATCTTTGCCATAATGACAGCACATAATGTTTTACTCAATATTTTTCAAGATTAAATGATATTAAATGACATTTAAAGGCTTAAATGGGTTAATTGTGAAAGTTAGGGTAATTAGCCAAGTCATTTCATAACAGTGGTTTGTTTTGTAGACAATTGAAAACAAATACTGCTTAAGGGGGCTAATAGTATTGACCTTAAAATGGTTTTAAAAAAATTTAAAACTGCTTTTATTTTAGCCAAAATAAAACAAATAAAACTTTTTTCCAGAAGACAAAATATAAGAAGAAATACCTTGAAAAGTCCTTGCTCTGTTAAACATCATTTGGGAAATATTTTTTAAAAACATAAATCACAGGAGTGCTAATCATTCTCTATTTAACTGCGTGTGTGTGTTTTTTTTAGATCATTTTCGTCTGTGTTGCATTCAATTTACAATTTCAGTTTGACTAACAACACCAGAGTTTGTTTGGAAGTGGATCAAACTCCATGTTTTCAGCAGTCTCTAATTCACTTAATCTTCTGAATAAGTGAATTCGAGACTGCCGAAAACTTGGAGTTTGTTCTGATGGTGCAGAGTGAATACTGTTGGGTCTTTTGTACTTTGTACTTTCTCCAGAAGAAAAAATATCAGACATGCTGTGAAAATCTCCTTGCTCTGTTAAACATCATTTGGGAAATATTTTTAAAAGGGAAAAAAATCCCAGGAGGGCTAATAATTTTGTAATTTTTTAATTCAGTTGTATATGATGACTATACTGTACATAGGACATCCTACCAAAATATTTTTTTATTTTAACATTTACGTTTATGCATTCAGCAGAATATTTCATCCAAATTAAATGACAATTATACTTAAGCAGGAAGGATGTGTTTTATTTATTAATTTATGTTTACATCCATACATCAAATCAGTTGTAGATTAAATTTTTTATTATTATTTTACATCAGTCCATCTGTTGTCTAAATCAGTCATTAAATGTTTTATTTATAATTTTCGAGCAGATGCTTTTATTCAAAGTGACTAAAACAGGAGCATTGCAATTTGTCAAATGCCTATATTTTATTTGATTGTACTTCTGCACATTTAGCAAATGCTTTTATCCACTGCAACTTTGTGTACCTTTAAGGAATCAAAATAATTATTTATTACATTTTTTACATTTTAAATGTTTTTTGTTTGGGCAACACAGTGGCTCAGTGGTTAGCACTGTCACCACACAGCAAGAAGGTCGCTGGTTCGAGTCCCAGCAGGGTCAACTGTCATTTCTGTGTGGAGTTTGCATGTTTTACTCGTGTTGGCATGGGTTTCCTCTGGGTGCTCCAGTTTCCCCCACAGTACAAAGACATGTGCTATAGGTGAATTGAATAAACTAAGTTGGCCGTAGTGTATGTGTGTGAATGAGTGGGTTTGGATGTTTCCCAGTTCTGGGTTGCAGCTAGAAGGGTATCCGCTGTGTAAAACATATGCTGGATAAGTTGGCGGTTCATGCCGTTGTGGTGACCCCTGATGAATAAAGGGACTAAGCCGAAGGAAAATTAATTGTTTCCCTTTTGGCAGATAATTTTGTCCAAAATTATTTAAGATTTTTTTTTTTCACAAGTAAAATATTCATTGTCTACTTTACCATGTTGTAATTTTATTGTATTTTATTTTATTATTTTTGTATTTTTATTTTATTTTTAATTTATTTTACAATGCGAGATTTTTTTTGTTTAAAAATTCAAAATTTATTTTACTTCTATGGTTTTATCCAAAAAGACAAATATCTTGTAGTGCAACAGCAATTTATAAAATATATTTTATATATTTAATTTTATTTTATTTGTTTATAAAAAAAATATATACACTCTAAAAAATATTAACTTTTTTTATTCTTTTATTTTTTTTATAATTCTTTTACATTTTTTTATTAAATTTATAGGACCAAATCTAACCCAATGTTTGGGTTTGTCCATATTTTACGCAATTAGTGTTGGAATATTTCCCAGTATGGGTTGCAGCTGGAAGGGCATCTGCTGTGTAAAACATATGCCGAGGTAGTTGGTGGTTCATTCCACTGTGGCGACCTCTAATAAATTCGGGACTAAGCCGAACAGAAATTAATCAATGTCAATTAATCAATAAATAAAGCAGTTTAGAGTGTATGTAGTATTTATCCATGTACGGTAATAACATTAAAGAGTTTTTTCTCAAAAACTAATTTCTTCTTCTACTTCCTCCAGTCTGGTTGGATCAGCATGGAGCTTAAGGATGCCCGTTGACGCCTGTCTTCGTCCCCTGTCCACTCTGTCATGGAGTCAGACCCGAACGCCCTCCGCGACCCCTACAAACCGGACATGGGTGACTCCGAGCTACCCGATCTGGAGTGTGCCATCTGCTTCTGCCAGTTCAACAATGTCTTCAACACCCCGAAGGTTCTGCAATGCAAGCACACCTTCTGCCTGGAGTGCCTCGCCCGGATGAACATCAAATCCAACCAACCCGAAACCATCCAGTGCCCGCTTTGCCGTTCATACACCCCTTTACCTGATTTGGGACTCCCAAAACTGGCCAATAACTCGACAGTGCTGTCTTATCTCCCTTCTGCAATGCAGCATGTCTACAGCATCCGTTTTAACAGAAACAAGGGAAAACTGCAGGTTAAGCGAGTGCCCAGTTCTGTCCCGATACACACACACACTGTCAGTCAGAGTTTGGATGTGGGCATGCCGGCTGGTATGCAGGGATCATCAGGAGAGGGCAGAGAGAGGTCTTTACTGATGACCATCCTGCGGACGCCGCTCTGCAAGGCTTTTTTAATGAGCACGGTGGCCATAATAGCTGTCGTTCTCACTATTACTATTATAATACTGCAGCAGAAGCGCTAAAAGAGGTCTGCATGCTTTAAGGGTACTCCAGAGATCTGCTCTATTAGTGTTAAAAGAATAAAAGTACATAGTTCACCCAAAAATGATAATGTTCTCACTATTTACCAGGGCTGCACAATATATACCAGGAGCTACAGAACGTCTCGGTTATGAATGTATTCCATGTTCCCCGAATAGAGAACGAATACGTGTGTCTAGTTAAAGACACTATTAGGAGATCGCTAGATGACCAACAGTTTCTTTATCTAGCCACACATTGGAGTTTCAATGAAGGTAAACGTCTCGGTTACGAACGAAACTCTAGTTCCCCGAATACGAAATGGAGACGTGTGTCTAAATACAGACACTATTGGAAGATCTCTACATGACAAATAGTGTCTTTATCTAGACACACGTCGGAGTTTCCATGAAGGAGAACATCTTCCCCGAATAGAGAACGAATACGTGTGTCTAGTTAAAGACACTATTAGGAGATCGCTACATGACCAACAGTTTCTTTATCTAGCCACACATTGGAGTTTCAATAAAGGGTAACGTCTCGGTTACAAACAAAACCTACGTTTTCCGAATAGGGAATGGAGACGTGTGTCTAGATAAAGACACTATTGGGAGATCGCTAGATGACCAGTAGTGTCTTTATCTAGACCAGGGATAACCAAACTTGTTCCTGGAGGTCCAGTGTCCTGCAGATTTTAGCTCCAACCCTAATCAAACACAACTGAACAAGCTAATTTAAGGTCTTACTAGGTATTCTTGAAACACACAGGCAGGTGTGTTAAGGCAAGTTGCAGCTAAACCCTGCAGGGCACCAGACCTTCAGGAACGAGATTGGTGACCCCTGATTTAGACACACGTTGAAGTTTCCATGAAGGGAAACGTCTCGGTTACGAACGTAACCCTTGTTCCCCGAATAGGGAACAGAGACATGTGTCTAGATAAAGACACTAATGGGAGATCGCTAGACGACCAATAGTGTCTTTATCTAGACACACGTCTGAGTTTCCATGAAGGGGAACGTCTTAGTTAACCTAAGTTTGCCGAATAGGAAACGATTACGTGTGCCTAGAGAAAAACACTGTTGGGAAATCACTATATGACCAGTAGTTACTTATTCTAGACACACGTCGGAGTTTCCATGAAGGCAAACGTCTTAGAGTGCTTTCACACCTACACTTTTGTTTCGGAACCTGTCTCGTTTTGCCCAGTTAGCGCGGTTCGTTTGGCATATGTGAAACCAGCAATCTTGCTAGGATCCGCGCCAAAGTAATCGCTCCGAGATCGCTTGAATGAGGTGGTCTCAGTTCGATTGAAACGAACTCTGGCGCGGATCGATTGCAGAGAGAAAGCGATACGATCCGAGCGCGGTTATATCACAGTGTTTTATGGATATGTAATAGGCATACAGCTATATGAAGAGAGAATTATGAGTAGGGCGGAAGTTTCGCGAGTCTCCTGGATGCCCGCAAATGAGTGATAATCTCCTGTTAATCTCGTGTCTCCCTCCTGGTCCTCAAATAGGCTACGTCGCGCACCCTTCATACCCCTCCCCACCGCAACTCTCCTCACTTTTCAGACATGTCGCGCGCATCTTGTCAAACACCACCAAGCCACCACCTCCACTGAAAGCTGAGCGGGACTCTGCAAAATAAACTCTGTCACTTACCAATGTGAGGAGAGTTTACTCGCACGTGACTTGTTTTAGCTCTTTTGGTCCGATTATAATACTTTGCAGTGTGAAAGCGAACCGCTCCAAGAGCAACAAAGTAACAATTTTAATCCCTGTTTCGGAACAACTGAATCGATTCACAGGTGTGAAAGCACCCTTAGTTACAAACGCAACCTACATTTCCCAAATAAGGAATGAAGATGTTTGTCTAGACAAAGACAATATTGGGAGATTGCTAGACAACCAAAAGTGTCTTTATCTAGACACATGTTAGAGTTCCTATGAAGGCGAACTCATGTGATTTGTAGATTCACTGCTAAATTCAACTATAATATAGTGAAAGTTTATCATTTACATGTGTTTTAAGGCCAGTCACTGAAATAATTTCAAGAGAGTTTAAAACATTTAGGCGCAAGAAATTATGATGTTTGGAGGTGAAACCAAAATGAATAATTTTCAAATATTTATACAATTTATGTAAAAAAAAAATGTTTTGTTTTGTTTCTAGTGCTAATATCTACATTTCAAAGCAAAAATAAGATTATTATTGTTTTAAGGAATTACAGCTTGATTCTTCTAAAGGTGAAAACTACAATATAAAGTAATATCAAATTGTGCAGCCCCCACTATTTACTCTTTTTTTAAGTGAGTATGAGTTTCTGTCTTCTGTTGATCCATAAAAGATGTTTTGAGGAATGCTGAAAGCCTGCAACCATTGACTTTCCTGCCACACTTTATGGTATCACTTTATTTTGATGGCCCCTTTAAATACATTTTGTTGAATTTAAGTTACATTGCATCTACGTGCCAGCTAATTCTCACTAGATCAGTGGTTATCAAACTTTTTTCATCAAGTACCACCTCAGAAAAAAATTGTCTCTCCAAGTACCACCAAAAATAAGCAGTATTGAAATACAGTAGCGTAGTAGGCCCAGTAAAGCAGCTACAACCCTGCACAGTCAAAACAACGTAGCAGATTACCTCAGAAATACAGGCTATATTCATAAATAGCATATTATATGCATAATTTTTGATAAATTTTAAATATATGTAGCATGTACATGACATATTTCATTCCTCCGCGTACCACTAGAAGGAAGCCTGCGTACCACTAGTGGTACACGTACCACAGTTTGAGAACCACTGCACTAGATTATAAGTAGACTATTAGGTTGGGTTAGGGTTAGTGTAAGTTGACATGTACTTGCAAAGTTTCTTATAGTCAGTTAAATGTCTGTTGAAGGAGCGTATCGGCAGATACTAGGAAGACAGTCTACTATCACTCAAATGAAAATGAATTGGTATGTAGTTGCAATGCAACTTTAAGGCAACAAAATGTGCAATAGGCACCATCAAAATAAAGTCTTTCCAACTTTACAATAAGGTTGTATTAATTAATGCATTTACTAACTGGAACAATCAATTAACAATTCATTTTTATTGTATTTATTCATGTTTGTTAACATTAATGGAACTAAAGTTGTTCGTCTTTAACTCACGGTGCGTTATCTAATGTTAACAAGCATGAATTTGGATTTTAATAAGGCATTAGTAAATGTTGAACTATGATTTATGAATACTGCACAGGTATTGCTCATTATTAGTTCATGTTAATAAATGCATTAACTAATGAGACCTTTTTGTAAAGTTTGACCAACTTTCCATTATAGGAAAAACTAATACTATGAAAGTCAATGGTTACAGGTTTCCAACATTCTTCAAAATATCTTCTTTTGTGTTCAACAGATGAACTCATTAAGGTTTGGAATGAGTAAAGGATGGGTAAATGGTTACAGAATGTTCAGTTTTGGGTGAACTGTCCCCTTGAAGGTCTTTGCACGCTGAAGTCAGCATTTATTTTTTCATCTTTCATATTCATATCCTATGATTTCATTAATACTGTGTATTAATTAATCTGTTGCAAAAAAAAAACCCCAACAATCATAGAATAATTTGGAGTCAAAGCAGTGATGTTTGTTATCTTCTCTCTTTAAAAAATGATAAATAAAGAGGAAATATTGAGCCGTGTGGGATTATCCCGAAATGCAAAGTTCATTTCAGGAACTCAGTGGCATTTTGATGCTTTGCTGGGATACTGAAACCACAAAACACAAAAAATCCGTAAACGAATCATGAATTGAGATGGACAGCACGTCAAAGCTATGGACACACACACACACAGTTTAGTTTTTCTGAATTGTGGGGACGTTGCATAGGTTTCCATTGTTTTTATACTGTACAAACTGTATTATCTATCCCCCTACTCCAACCTATCCCTAAACCCAAATCCCTCTTATTTTTTATGACAAGCAAAAGTAAAAATCTGTAATCTGTGTGTGATTGGCACAATGTAAGAAGGAATTATTTTTTAGACAAATTTCAGAGTGTGATGAACTTAACAGTGCTAGCAGGAGGCCCAACATCAAATTTCCTTTCATTAGGGGCCAACGTTTCGAGCTGTGACACTGTGATAGCAAATAAGCATCAGATTAGATTATCACACTGTCAGTACGGCAGAATGAACAACACAAACAAACATGCAACATGACGACGTGTTGTTCTGAATGTTTCCATCTTATGCAAATGAAAAATGTCCCTGGCATGATGAATGTCTCGACTGCTACGTATGCTTCACCAAGGAGAAGGATAGAGGTTATGGCCTGGTAAAAAGTACTGTGACTGAATTCAGGCTACATGGCTGAACACTACTGAAGCTTGTTTTGGGAATTATGGACAATGTTGATGAAGCCTTACTGTATATATATGTTGATATTACTTTATATTGATATTAATTCCTTTGAAATAAATGATGCTGAGGGAGTGTTTACATGACACCATTTTCAGCTGGAAAACCTTTTCACGAGTTCACACTCACAGATATTTGACTGAATAGAAAATGCGTATTTGGCGTGCTGTCTGGGGGAGAGGGCTCTGAGCTCGGGAAGACACCCTAACTTGTGTTATTCCCCTTATCAGGATAAAGAGAGATAGGGTCCGAGCACAGTGTCTAGCCCGGCTCCAGAACGCTCCCCCCTCAGATTTGAATTGGTGTCTGGTTTAATAGTGTGGAGGGACAGTGAAGTCGAGAGAAACAGAGGTATGACGTGTTTGACTATTTATAAGGGTTTGCTCTTGGGCTGATTGGATAATAGAATGATTGTGTGTGTGTGATGAATTAGCCTCGTCAAAGACTGATCGTGCTCCTCCCGAAATTTGTTTATAAAACATCACTTATTGGTTTTCATTTATATGACAGCTGCATTTTGGGGGCCTAAAATGTTCAAAATCAGGTTTCAAAGTACGTTTTTTTAATTTTTTAGAAAATGATAATACT